CTTCATCTCAAGCAGCATCGGAGGGAGAAGCGTGCGCAGCAAAGGAAGAGGCATGGGAGGACCATGGATTGAGCTGAGTCACTGAGCCATGCCCCACAAGGGATAAAAGGGGGCGTGATTGCTCGGCAGGCTTTGTGACGGACAAACGCTTAAACTCTAAAGAATCACATAGTGAATCCTGCATTTCGGCTCAGATATATTTTGGACTAAACTCTTGTGGATAATTTGTCACTCTGGAAACGGACTGCAGATAAGGCCTCTCCTGCTTTTGGGGAGTACTAATTGGATTTGGCAGGCATTTTACAAGTAGCTGCCAGAACTCTCGTCTGCCAGGAATTCTGGTCTGTTTATACAATACATTATTGGCAGGTGTGTTGGATATTGCATTTGAATGTGTGAGGACGGGGGACAGAACACAGTGGAACAGCTTGCCTTCAGAAGTTGTAGGTGCTTTATCACTGGAGGTTTTTAAGAAAAGACCAGACAGCCACCTATCTGAAATGGTATAGGCCATAGGGTCTCCTGCTTGATCAGGGGGTTGGACTAGAAGATCTCCAAGGTCCCTTCCAGCTCTATTCTGATTGATTCTTCCTGTCCAGCTTCTCTTGATATATTTCACATGTAGGGTGAATAAATAATGGGAAAATATTCAGCCTTATCATACTCCTTTGCCAATGTGGAGTCAGTCTGCTTTAACACATACTGTCCATATTGCAGCTTCCTGATCTGTATGTAAGTTTCTCATGAGAACAATGAGAGGTTTTGGGATTCCCATTTGAAATTTATTGAGGAAGGTTGGGTTATCACACAAATGGTGCTCACTTGAAAAGTTTGCTGAAAGCCGCTGATGACAATAAACTAAGCAAGCACATAACTGGATGACAAACTTCCTGCAATATTGAGTAACCAGAACTTTCTGTTAAATAGACACTTCAGAACCGAGAAATTACAGTAAACTAAACTAAAAATAGATAATCAATCAAATATGTACAGAAAATAAGATTTAAATTTGCATCTAAACACATAAAGATGCTCCTGTAAACTAAAATGCAAGTGTTTTTGTTTTGATACTGCTATTTGTTCCATTACTGATTTGCTTTGCATACGTAACTGGACACTCTACATGTGATCCATGTAATCCATGCAAAGTAAATATGCATTTTTAAAGATTTGAATATCGGTGTGGAATGTAGACTGCCTACCACAGGGTATATTTTATTACAGGAGTAGAAAACCTATGTACTTCTCCTTAAAAACAAAAACAAATGCAAGTCTCTTAATAAGCAGAAAGACAGCTTGATGTAGTGGTTAATGGCACTGGGCTACAAACCAGGAGACTGTAAGTTCTAGTTTTGCTTTAAGGACAAAGCCAGATGAGTGACTTTGGGGCAGTCAGTTTGTCCCCATCTTAGGAGGAAGGTAATAATAATAATAATAATAATAATAATAATAATAATAATAATAATACTTTTGAATATAGACGGATCATCACTTGGAACACAACATGCCAGCTATCACTGTTGTCGAAAACTGAAACATACAATTTATTGACATCGCGGTACCAGGAGACGCCAGAGTCAAAGAAAAAGAACTGGAAAAAATCATGAAATATCATGACCTGGCCATAGAAACTATATGACTATGGAAGAAACATGTCACAGTAATACCCATTGTCATCAGGGCACTTGGTCCAAGAATTTCACAAAACACTTCAAGAAATTGTAGCTTCCTGCAATAACACCAGCAGAACTGCAAAAAACTGTGCTACTTGGAACATCATATATTTTAAGAAGGTACTTGGTTGATACTTAGGATGCTGGCAGCAACCCGTATCAACCATTAGCACCAGTCAATGGTATTTGTGACACATTTTTAAATGTCCAGTTGACTGAGTTTCATTTTTAATGAATAAAAGATAATAATAATAATAACTTTAGTGTCATTGTACGTGTATACACAGTATACCCATACAACAAAATTCACTTAACACCCAAAGACCAGGTCCAACACACATAACAATCCCCAAACACAAATAGCAAACCACTTCTAAAAAATGTTGCCAGGAAACCGCCTGGACTTGTCCAGGCAATCACCAGGAATCAAGAGTGACTCAAAGGCATGCATGCACGCACACAAAGACATACAAGCTACAGTGACAGCTATGAACTCTGCACCATTTAAACTCACATACACCCTTCAATGCACGCTCATGCAGTTCCAGCATTGGAAATTAACTGCTGATGATAATATTGGATTTTATTTCTTTTTACAGCCCATATTTTTATGATAATGACATCTCTTGATTGATATACTCTTCCAAACAATTATACCTCGCCGTGCCTGGAATTATGTCGATTCAAATGTCATCCTTCCTTCTCTTCCTTGGATTGCGAAAATAGGGCTGGCGCATAAACAAAGACAGTGGGAAAACAGCCAAACAGATTAATTTACTGTAAATGTTTTTTTTTTTTTCTGGAAATGGGGGGAAAGAGCAAATATCAAAAAGCAGGCATTTAACTTACATACTTGCCCCAGGCAGGTCTAACATGCATGCAGAGTCACTGTTACTATCATAAGAGCCACACCACAGGAAACTACTAACACTACCAATGTCCAAAACAATCTCGTCTTTCCCGCATTCTCAGTATAATTGCTCTAATGAACTCACACAGCATTAGAAAAGTTTCCAGCATATTGTAGTAATTCACTATTAAAAGCAACTGGCTGCATACAATGGAGTCCTGTGTTTCCATCCTATTAAGAAACCATTTCATCACTACCTGGGCAGTAATGGACAGTATGGAGTAAATGACAGGCACTTGCAGGTGGAAAGTTATCTACAGCTGGCTATAAAATAGGATATAATTCTTGTCAGAGACAGATTAAGGCCACAAGGTGTACTTCATTCATAGTTTTAAGTCTCCCTGAAGGATTATTCACCCATTTTCATTAAAGATGACTTGTTTTGCACCTGCATCAGGTTTAAAGTCTGCTTCTTGAATGGTGTCAACAGACCAAATGATCACGTTAAAATAAAATTATTGTAGTAGCCTCTGGCTTGGGTGAGTTATATGACTGTGTGTGTATATTTATATCTGACCAGGTTGAAACAAACACCACATTCTAAGCTTGGAAATGAAAGCTGAATGCTAATTTATTTCTCTTCATCTATGTTCAAATTCACATCCTTGTAAAATCCTGCTTCTCCAGCCTTTCAGTCACTTTAAAGACCTTGTTGGGTAAGGTCTTTGTGACCTTCTGACAATGACAAAGATTGGGATCCAAAAAAAAAATGCATTTCATGAGTGGTAATAGTTTGTCCTCATGGACTAGGAGGGTTATTCCTTTTTCATTTATAGGCTCCCTTATTCAATTTTTAAAACTGTTCTTTTGTGTCCTCCAATTCCTACAGACCATTTATAAAATATACCTGGAAATAAAAAAAGAATAAGAATGATGTCCTGTTTCAGAAATGAAATTCCAATTGTATAATATTTGATAATATTTGCTTTTCCTGGCTTTAATCTTAATTTTAAACACCAGTGCCCCTTATTTGAGTCAATATTGGTCTTAAAAATGAGTATTTTTTCTCAAAGATTGGAAAATATACAGTAACTTTAGCAAGTAATCATTATTCACAAATTGAAACAAAGGGAAGAGAAGAAAGAGGGAAAGATGGATAAACAGCTTAGTGTTCTTTTCACATTTTCCTTTGTGTTTGTGTGTATGTGTCTTCAAGTCATTGATGACTCATTGCAGTTGCCTGGCCTAATCCCTATAATTTTCTTGGAAAGATTTTTAGAATTGCTTTGCCGGTGCATTTTTCCTAAGGCTGAGAAAGCGGCACTGGGTTAAGGTAACTCAACTGGCTCTGTGCCTAAGGCAGGAGTAGAATTCACATACATTAGCAGACCAAAGTGAAGCTAAGACTGAATGGGTACCAAGGCGAAGCATCCCATATAGCGTTGTGCCAAGAATTAAGAGGTTCTGTCTATTGCCTTGGAATAGGATTGGAATCTATTTCTGAAGAGAACTAGATGAAGACTTGGGAAAAAAGCCAAGGGAGAGCTTAGTCATCCAAGACCCTGTCAGATAAGGATCAGGATGATTGTATCACAATCTTTAGATTGTGAGCAAACTAAAACTGAGAACTAGAAAAAAGAAATGTGACTGGAGAAACATATTCATAGGCACAACACAGAATACTTAGGAAGTCATAACTGTGTTTGTATTTGGCCCAAAGATGGTTCTGAGGAACCAATATCTACCAGGTTCATATCTGATTTCTTTCAATGGAATTTGCATACAGTATATTATGCACTTATGCTTTACATATGTGAAACGTGGGATAACTATGTTTTCCAGTCATGCGCTCTAATGTTACTATATTGTGCTCAAAAGTTGAGTGTACAGATTTGTAGTATCCACCAATTAAAGGCTAACAACTGTTATGACTCGACTGCATTCATAATAAATTTGAAGGGTAATATGAGATATAGTTTAATCACAGATCCAATGCCTCTTCATGCATTATAACATGGCTAACATGAAAATGTTTTGCACTAAAGATCGGTGCCCTTTGGTGGATATCTTCCATGCAAATAGCTGACCATTTGTCAGACCTATATACTTTATATACAGTATGCATATACTGTATATTAAGAAGAGTACTGAAAGCAAAGCACTTTCCCCTGTTTGTGTCTCTTTCTATTTCAGATGTTAGCTTAATGTGATCTAGCTTCCTCTAAAAAAGACCTTTGAGAATAATGTCATTAAATAAATGGCCATCATCAGTTTATGCAGTAAGTGGATCAATTGATCTGTGAGGTAGCAGTAAATCATGACCCATATATTATAGATAATATATTTATTTGGTCTTCTGCTTTTCCTTCTTTTCTTACAAAGATCCTTTGAAAATGGGCTGGGTTAATCATTATTGGGGTGTTCTCGAGCAGACGATAAATTACAGAGGTGGATTATAACGGTAAGTATTTATTTACCTCACAGATACAGCTCTAACACAATTCAGAAGAAGTACAATATGAAGAACCTCGAACTCAGCCTGACAGCTCTTTTATACCAACTGTCAGACGGCTTAACCAATAGGAACATCCAACGTTACAAAGGATTCCAACAGGGGCCAATTCTCTTGAGCATGCTCAGAACACAATTATCTTATGAACTGTTCACTGTTGAAACACCTGCTGGGAGGTAGTGAACTGGGACAACTGGGACTCAAATAATATGTCGGTGAAGATTTTCAATCATATAGGTAGAGTTGTCGGGAAGTTGAGTCATGACAACTGGAGTTTTCTTTTTTGGTTTGAAACATTTCGCTGCTTACCCAAGCAGCTTCTTCAGTGAAACGGAAGTTCCACAATATCATTATTGAGTTATAACAGGGGTGTCAAATTTAAGGCCTCCGGACCAAATCCAGCCCATGGGATGCTTAGATCTGGCCCACAGGGCTGTCCTGGAAACAGTGAAGGACTGGCCCATTGTGCCTCTGCCAGTGAAAATGGAGCTCGGGATGTCTGCACGCAGCCTCAATTTTCATTGGCAGAGGGATGCAGGAGACCTGCACAGTCAAAAATGGAGCCCGGAGCACCACACACAGGCTCCAGGACATTGAGCCAGTCATGCCCACTGTGGCCACACCCACCCCAGCCATGCTCACTCAACCCCCGAGGTCAAACACAACCCTGTTGTGGCCCACAATGAAATCAAGTTTGACACCCCTGAGTTATAGGAATTGTAAATAGCATGGTTGTACATAGGTAAAGTTAAATGTTCCCCTCACATGTATGCGCTAGTCATTCCCAACTTTAGGGGGTGGTGCTCATCTCCATTTCAAAGCTGAAGAGCAGTGGTGGGATTCAGTCAGTTTGCACCACTTCGGGAGACCCAGTTGTTAACTTTCTGAGCAGTTTGGTGAACTGGTTGTTGGAAGAAATCATTAGGACAGAGAACCAGTTGTTAAATTATTTGAATCCCACCACTGCTGAAGAGCCAGCACTGTCCGAAGATGTCTCTGTGATCATGTGGCCAGCATGACTAAATGCCGCAGGTGCACAGAGCGCTGTTACCTTCCTACAAAAGGTGGTCCCCATTTTTCTACTTGCTTTTTTTACGTGCTTTTGAACTGCTAGGTTGGCAGAAGCTGGGACAAACAACGGGAACTCACCCCATTACACGGCACTAGGGATTCGAACCGCTGACTTGTTGATCAACAAGCTCAGCATCTTAGCCACTGAACCACCATGTCCCTTTTTGGTTGTACATAAACCCATATAAATTTATTATGATTCTTGACGAATGTATCTTGTCTTTTTATGTTCACTGAGAGCATATGCAAAAAAAAACAAATTCCTTGTGTGTCCAATCACACTTGGCCAATAAAGAATTCTAACTAATCCAATAAAGAGTAATATTGAGAGCTTTCATTAACCGTTTTGCGCCAGATCTGGAAATTGACTCATGGCTGCTGGACTACTTTCTTTTTTTGGTTTGAAATGTTTGAAATGGCTTATCTTAGTAGCTTCTTCAGTGCTACTTCAGTGAAGAAGCTACTTGAATAAGAAGTCAAATGTTTCAAAGCAAAAAAAAAAAAAAAGACAAGAAGTTCAATTGCCATGAATCAATTTCCAGATTTGGCTCAGACAGTGGACTTATCCTATCACTGTAGAAGTATTCATAGATCAAGACATCCATTTCTTTTACAAGAAGGAACAAGAACCATCAGTTAGATATTGTTTTTGATGTTTACAATCTGACCACTTTGCACAGATGGTCAGATTATATTTCCCTGCTTATTCTTTTACAGTAATTTTCATCCTTCCAAAGCCTGAATTTGAATTCCTAGAAGTATGAAGCACCTGGTTTCTCCAGACATCTTGCTGGGTTATGGGTTGGCATCATTTTACAATTGTGAAAAATATAAATCAGATATTATTTGTGATTCATTGTACTTTAAAAACAATTGTGGTTTATGCAAACTATATATTTTTGGGACGTCTTATTTCTATTGCAATGATTTGGCTGCGATCCTGAAAGTGTGAACATACCCAGAATGATATTGACTGTTCCTCTAGTCTATCTTATGAAAATGAGTTTGTGAGATCCTCTTCAATTTCAAAATTAGTTTATCATATGCTCATTTATCACATACTAATTAATCAACTTCTTTTAATCCTGATTTTTAAACTTGGCCATATTTTCATAGTAGAAATTGTAACAATAGGTCTGGATTAATCATTAGATTTTGGATTTGACAGTAGCCTAGTATAACATTTGTACCAAAACTAAAATGTGTATCTACATTTAGGCAACATACTTGTTTCTTCGCCATGCAAAAGAGATATTGGTAAAGGAAAAGGTTGCCTCTGTCCCATGTCTGACTCTAGCTGGTGATGCTCATCTCTGTTTCTTAATTGAGGAAGCCAGTGTTGTCCAAAGATATTTCTCTGGTCATGTGGCCAGAATGGACTATATGCTGAGGCATAAAGAATGATGTAACCTTCCAACCAAAGTGGTATCTATTTATTTACTTGCATTTGCAAGTTTTCAGACCGTGAGGCTGGCAGGAACTGGGGCAGAAACAGGAGTTCTGTCTGCTATGTGGTACTTGGGTCTTGAACTGCTGACTTTCAATTGACAAGCCCAACGTCTTAACCACTAGGCCACCATACTCCTTCTAAAAAGAAATACAGCTGAATTCAAATACATGTCAGGATAAGGCCAACCAAAAGAGTGAAAGGGTCATGCTTTATGCACTCTGACTTATTTCTAGCTGTAATCTTAACCCAAAACAAAACTTCATTTAACCAAAGTTGCTTCTTCCCAAAAGAATCTGAGCACTGAGAACCACACTTTGTAGCTGTGGATATAATTGCTTTTCATTTAGGTGAGAAGTCTGTGTCTGGGATGTGACCTTTTAGATTCCAAGTAGAAATTCAAATGACTTTTTTTTTTTTAATCTAATAAAAATAGCCAAAATAAATGGTCAGGGAAATAGAGTTGCAATTATGCCACTTTCCTGACATGAAAAATTGTAAAGTAGAATGAAATTTTACTGGGAAATTGTTTAGTCCTTTTATGCCTTAATATCTAGGAAGAAAGCATAAGTTCTGCTTTCTTCTTGCTCCACATCATACATCATTTGATGATCCATCTCACTCCTCTTTGCTTTGAGCTAAAAGATCGCAAATGTTATAACCTTTCCTTGCAAGAGAATTGTGCCAGCTTTTGTTATCATTTCAGTTGTCCATATATGCTTTTGTGAAAGTTCCGCGATATCTTTATTGAGTTACAGAAATTGTAATGGTTGGACACAGATTGATATAATCTATGGCACAGTGGTTAAAATGCAGTATTGCAGGTTAACTCTGTCCACTGCCTGGAGTTTGATTCTGACAGGTCTTAAGGTTGACTCAGCCTTCCGTCCTTCCAAGGTTGGTAAAATGAGGACCAGATTGTTGGGAGCAATATGGTGACATTGTTAACAGCCCAGAGAGGGTTGTAAAGGATGTAGGGTGATATAGTTATATAGGATGATATATATAGGGTAATAAGTCTATGTGGTATTGCCATTGCTATAATGTTGTCAGCTTTCTTTTCTTTTCTTTTCTTTTCTTTTCTTTTCTTTTCTTTTCTTAATGATTCCCACAATAGAATTTGCTTTTCCAACAACAGCAGTAGACTATATCAACATTTTCATTACACCTCATTACAAATAAACAAACAAACAAACAAACAAATAAATGCAAATTCTCCTTTGAGGAGCCCACTGCTTCTTAATCCCTATCTTCTCATTTGTAACCAAATATTGATTCAAAAGCGGACTTCTCTTAATCTCCAAAGTTCTCTGAATTAAAATTAAAATTCAGCTCAAGAATTTCTTCCTGAAACCCGCTGACTACATATTTGTCAACATTATCTGAAATATTGGTAAATTAGGACTTACTCTTGCAGAAACCACACTGATTCTATCCCAGCAAGATTTGCCTTTCTTACATTTGATTATTTTGGTTAATTCAGAGGCTCTTTATCAATTTATTGAAAACTAACCAGCTGTACAACTTTCTGGAGTTTATTAATCAATCTACAACATTACTTGTTACCAGGGGTGGTACTTACCTTTACTACCGGTTGGCAATGGGGCCGCGCGCATGCGCAGAAGCTTCTGCACATGTGCAGAAGCGTTCTGATGATGTCGGGGTCGGTGGGTGAAGCCTCCTGCCGGTTTTACTACCAGTTCTATAGAACCGGTGCAAACTAGGGGCAACCCACCACTGTTTGTTACCATTTGGCTTAGTTTCTAAGATTTGTTTCCTGAAAGTATCTGTTCAAATATTAGCATTTGGCCTATATGTTCACTAAGGAGAGACATGATAAATCAGTTTAGCTTACCTGAAATTCTCTTTTCCTTCAGTGCTTCTTTCATTTTTATATTATTCAAATGTCCAATTGCCTACTTGGCCGGTTTCCAGCTTGTAATAGTTTTTTTTTTAATTATTAGTCAATGTTATTAAGGTCATGTGATCCTCAAAATAGCAATCTTCTCCTCTGCTTTCCTTTAATATTGGCTTACATTTATATAGCACAATTTGTTCTTTTTATTCTAAAACTATTCTTATTTACTTTATGTAATAACTTCCCTGAGACTGTTAAAAAACTATGGACACAGAATTTTTTTTTTCTATTTTTGGCAGTTGGCCTTATTCCCAGGTAAGCATGCATTATACTGCAAAGTAAATTTCCTTACTAATTAAATGTATTAATTGTCTTACACATTTCTCATAATTAACCAAACATCTTTTTCATCCCAGGATCAGCTCTCCTCGGTCCAGTAACATTTTTATAGACATAACAGAAATTATTAGTAATAAAAGTTGCATCATAGAAGTACAATGCTCATAATATTATCATATATTGGTTGTGGAATTCCAAAGTTTCTAACATGATTTTTTCCCCCCAGAGACAATAATGACAAGGTTTCTGCAAGAAAAAGCCACTCAGAATCACTCCAGACAGTGAGATGGGTGGCACATA